CGCCCGTCCGCCTGGCCGACAACCCGCTGGCCGTGCCGCCCTACACGCCGCCGCCCATCCTCAGCCCCGTGCGCGAGGGCTCCGGGCTCTACTTCGCCACCTTCCTGTCGGCGGCGCCGTCCGCCACGCCCAAGTCGGCCTCGCGCAACCTTCTCTGCTCAAGTACGACACACAAACGGGCAAACGTCACAATTTCAACCCCGGCTTGGACTCGGAACCTGCATTTTGCAATCCTGACCGAGGGTTGAAACTTTCATTTGAAGCCCCAACTCTGCTTCAATTTTTTTTTAAACCTTTGTTTGAAACTCCAACCTTACCCTGGCTTCGAGCCTTAATTTGTAAACCCCAATCCAGGCTTGTAACCTTAATTTTAAATCATACCAATCGCTTCAAATCATAAATTTAAATGCTAACCCCCGTTTGAAACCCCGAACCAGAATTTAGACCTTTTTTTTTTTTTTCCTCCCCCAAATTCAAAACTCGATCCCTGCATTGAACACAGGGTTCAAATTCTTACCCCGGCTTCAAAACCTAATTTTGTAACTCTAAGGCTCGAGACTTGGAACCTTCATTTGAAACCTTAACCCTCGCTTCAAATAGTACTTTGATTAAAAAAAAATTTTTAACCCTTGTTTGAAACCCTAACGCAGGCTTGAAACCCTATTCGTGGAACTCTAAACCTTGTTTGAATGCCAAACTGAGACTCAGATTCCTAATTTGAGACCCTAACCCTGGCCGCAAACCCCACTCTGAAAGTTTTACCATTGCTTAAACCAGGCTTGAGAACTGAATCGAAAACACTAACCTTGCCTTGAAACAATAATTTGAACCCTAATTTGAAACTTTTTTTTGTTTGTTTTTTTTTGCTTGTTCAGGTAGCTGCGACATGACTCCTCCAATTCTGTCCGCAGTGAGTGAGCCCACTCCAGTCAGCATTGAGCCGTGAGTGTTTTCCTGTTTGCAGTGGCAGTACACACACACACACACACACACACACACACACCACACACACTGGAGTGCACGCTCCACAGCCAATTATCCAGATCATAACACCGAGCTGAATCATGAGCTGTCCTCAGTGAGACGCGTTGAATTTGCAAAGGCAGCAGCGTTTTGCTGCGTCATCCTCGGCCATCGCAAGCCGTCTGATTAACGCGATTTCGATACCCGCCACCTTTGCGCAGTCGAAATCATCAAGAATGAATTGATAGAACCTGTAACCCCCCCCAAAAAAAAGAAGAAAAAAAAGTCCACGCCACGGAAGGGCCCCATTTTTTTTTTATTCCATTTGATTGTTCACATGAACCAAAGCTAAGCCCGTTTCCATGTCGCCTTCCCCAGACGGATAAATATGGGGTCGCGGTACCAGGCGGAGGTGCCGGACCTGAGGCCGCGCTCCCTGGTGGAGCTGGACACGCACGGAGCCGAGCTGGTCTGGGCTCCCCTGACGCAGCTGGAGGACAAGCCGGACTACCACAAAAGAGGTACGCCCGCCCAAAAAGTCGCCCAATCGCCCGCGTACGGATGAGTTGACCCGTGACGTGTCTTTGTCCCTTTTGCGTCAGTGAAAGACCTGATGCACCTGGCATGTTCCAGCGCTTTGTGCGGCGGAGGCAGCAACCAGGAGCTGGCCCACCATTGTCTGCACCGGAGCAACGGTGACATCATGGTGAGCGACTTGCAAGCGAACCGTCGGGAAATAACTCGTTAACCGCAGCCTTGGCTTGAAACGTACATTTGAAACCCTACAGTAACCCATCCATCCCTTTTCTGATCCACTTTAACCCCACAAGGGTGGGGGAGGGGGGGGGGGCGGAGCCTATCCCAGCTGTCCTCGGGCAGGCGGGGGACACCCTGAACCTGTTGCCAGCCAATCGCAGGGCACACAGAGACGAACAGCCATCCGCGCTTTTTTTTTTTTTTTTTTTTGCCAGCATGGGGGTCACATTGTGAAGAACTTTGAACCCTTGTTTCAAATCCGAACCGAAGCCTGAAACCGAAGCGAAACTGTTCGCATGCGCCCAAGTACGTGCATCACCCGCATTGGCAAAATCACTTCTCAGACTCTGAACACAAATGTTAACGTGCACACGCTGGAGCCCGGCTGTCTTGGCGCGTGCCAGTGCCAAGTTGAGATTCCAGGCCGGAGTGACCAGCGCCGCTCCAACGTTGCCATGGAAACGGAGAGAGATAGCATAGGGGGGGAGGGGGGAGGGTTGACGTGTTTTAAGTGCCCACTCTGCTCTGCGCAGCTCCGCAGTCGGGCAAGTCGCAAAAAGACGAGGAGCGTGCAGAAGTTTATTGACGTTCCGGAAATCTCTCTTGGGAAGCGCGTTGGTCAAATAAATGTTGTTCTCTTCTTTGTTTTTTTCAGGCCGCTTTATCCCTGCTCATGCTGAGCGATCCCATCTTTCCAAAGTCCCACTCGTTGTCCGACTACCACTACTCAGGTTCGTCATTTACGCCAAGAGCCGCCGTGCCGCTCCACCCCACTTAACGCCCCCCCACACACACACACACACACACACACATTGAAGAGTTGAACCAAATGGGAAATCTGTTGCTAATCAAAACAGCAGTTCAGGTTGATGCCTTCAATGGTGTAGGGTTCGTGCGGTTTCGCACGGGGGGACGAGGAGAGGAAGAGCCCAGTCGGCAGTAGCGCAAGCGTCACATATTAAAGACCTCGTCGCTCAGTATGCTCGCATGTCCACTTAATCGGGGATCAGCGCACTGTCAATTTTTATTTTTGTACGATACAATGAAGTGACTCAACTCCACATCTCAGGTAAGGTCAGCCTCGTTCGGGAATTGAAAATCAACGACCACCGCCGGTTTGAACAAATTGGAATCGAGCACATGTGATATCGAGCCACGGGTGCTCCCTCAACCCGCTTTATTCAATCGACGGTAAGAAAACACGGGAATCGGAAGCGCGTTCTGAGCTCAGCCTCGGCTGACGCCGCCGCAGTGGCTCGCGCCATGCCAGGAAACTTTCTCGTATGTCCGCTTCCACATCACCCAACCGAGTAGATTAAAAAAAAAAAAGGAAAAAGATTGTAAATAAATAACGTGGCACGATTGTGTTTGAAATGGCAGCATAAGACTGCGTATCACATAAACCGCAAATATCCAACATTCCCTCTTGAGTGATGGCAGCTGCCGAAGCAAAGTGTGGGTGAAAATGGCAACATAAGACTGCGTGTCACATAAACCGCAAATATCCAACATTCCCTCTGAGTGATGGCAGCTGCCGAAGCAAAGTGTGGGTGAGCCCGGGACAGGACGGGTGGGGTCCGGAGGGGGTGCCGTTACAGCATGTGGTTAATGGGCGAGCCCGGGACAGGACGGGCAGGGTCCGGAGGGGGTGCCGTTACAGCATGTGGTTAATCCCCCCCCTGTATAGAAGACAGGAGAGCCAGTGTTTTGAAGGGTGGGGGGAGGGGGGTGTTAGCCGAGCACCGCTATCGCACTGCTTCGATGCTAAATATTTTCTTGCATCTGTCAGGATCTGACAAGTGGTCCGCGGCCGAGCGACGGCAGTTCAACAGAGGCATGGCCACCTACAAGAAGGATTTCTTCATGGTGCAGAAACAGGCAAGTCTGCAATGGCAAGAGTCAGGATAAGGGAGCACGGCGGACGAGTGCCTCACACGTCTTTGGCACCGCTCGGAGGTTTGGGGTTTGAATTTGGCCTCTCTGACCGCGTGCGGAGTCTGAAGTGACATTTCAGGGTCTTCCAAAGAAAATTTCGCCCCCAAAGCCAGTTTCACTTACGTACTTGCAATTTGGTTGACAGATTTGGTGCGTGTCTATCATGATTTAATCCACACACACAAAAGAAAACCGAGTCATGCCCGAAAAGACTCAGGAAGCCTAACATTTGCGTTTGAAGCTGGCCGTTTCAGGGCATATTAATTATTTCCGAGGGTCCTACAAAGAAAATTCAGCCCCCCAAAGCCTGTTTCACTTAGCAACATGAAATTCAGTAGGCATGCTCCTCATGATTAGACCCACAAAAAAGTCTTAAGAAGTCCTGACGAAAAGACACAGGAAGTGTGTCGTTTTGGTTTCAAAGCTGACATTTCCGGGTCATTTTCACTATTTTCAAAGAATTCAACCCTGACAACTGTTTCACATGTCAAACATGAAATTTGGTCGGTATGTGTATCATGAGTTGAGCCACCAAAAAATGTCAAGAAAAACACACAGGAAGTCTTCCAATTGGGTTTGCAGCGGCCATTTTGACTCAGATGCATCCTTTGGGATTAAAAAAAAAAAAAGAATAAATCAGCCCCGAAAGACAGTTTCACTTCAGAACATGCAATTTGGTAGGTGTGTCTATGAGTGGACCTACAAAAAAAAGTCTCAAATTGTCATGCCTGAAAAGACTCAGTCTGTCAAGTCTGTCATTTTGGTTTGAAACGGCCATTGAGGGCAATTTTGGAATATAAAAACAAACTGCATAGATGTACAGTCAATGTATCGTTGGGTCTTTCTGCAGGTGAGCACCAAAACGGTGGCGCAGTGCGTGGAGTTTTACTACTCATACAAAAAGCACGTCAAGGTCGGCCGAAACGGGACGCTGATCTACGGCGAGGCGGCGTCTCCGTCTGGCGGGACGACCGAGGAGGAGGAGACCAATCCAAATAAGGTAAGCCTCGAGCGTCGCATTTGATTTCAACGGCGGAGGGATACGCCGTTCACCGGAACTCTTTTTGCAGGCCTCTCATAGACTACAGCAGCAGCAGCAGGAGGAAGAAGACAACAGGAAGTGGGAAGGCTCAGCTGACAGGAAACAAGAAGTCGGCCCTGTGCACAAGCTGCCCTCGGCCGAGACCGTAAGTCGGGTGGGAAAGGGAACGCAATGCACAAATAAAAGAATGGATGACGCCTTGGTTCTTTGACCTTATCATGCTTCTTCTATTCTTAAATGTTGCAAATATTGACTCACATGGCCACATGGGAAATAAAATGTAACTTTATGAGGCCACTTCAGTCACATTTCCCGGACGTGAATTGTGTAATTTGAAATACAAATCAGGATGACATGAGCTTGCTAAAGCAGTTGGAATTATTTTCCTCCCAAGAGCAACGTTACTCTTTGTAAACCTTTGAATCTTCCTTGTGCTTGCTGCCCCCTGGTGGACTTGCAGAAGCACTCCCAACTTGTTGCGTAACGTCAGTGCGTGCTGTCCACCAGTCTTATAGAGTTGCGTTCCTAACTAACCGTTTATAAATTATGCGTTGTTTATTCTAGAATTATGTAGCAATTATATGTTTTTTTTTTATATTTGAATTAGAATGTGGATATTTTGGAAAGAACTTGTTGCGTAACGTCAGTACGTGCTGCAATCAAGCACACTTTTCTGCGCGCCTCATAAAATCTTCCGGTGTCCGCAGACCGCCACGGTCCTGATCATGAGGTCCCAGGAGGACGTTGTGGCCAGGGATGGGCCGCCGCCGCCGCCACCGCCTCCTCCTCCTCACGTCGTCGCACCCCCTCACAGAGATATGAGCATGTCAAAATGTGAAAACCACTTAGTAGCTAACGAGGTGATATGCTAACTTTGCCAGCTTGGGGAACCTCACTCTATCCACTTTCCATTTACCATCTAACAAACTGATATGCTAATTTTGTCATCCTCGGGAACCTCAATCTATCCACTTTCTGTTGAACAGCGAACAAACTTATATGCTAACTTTGCTGCCCTTGGGAACCTCACTGTCTATTTTCTCTTGAGCACCGAACAAACTGATATTCGAATCAACTTTCCCATCTTGGGGAACCTCACTCTATCGACTTTCCATGTAGCGGCCAACAAACTGATCTTCTAATTAACTTTGCCAGCTTGGGGAACTTCACTCTATCCACTGACTACTCAGAGGAGTGACTAACATATCGGCGCGCTAACTTTTGTAGCCTGGGGAACCTTGCTATCCACTTTCCATTTCGCGTTTATGTCCTTGCAAAATATACTTTTGGAAATGGAGTCAAATGACAAACATTGCTATGCTAATTTTGCCCATCTTGAGGAAACCACACACTATCCCGTTTGCTCGGAAAAATCCAATCTGACCCGGCTTCTCCACCAGGGTGTTTTACAAGGTGAAGAGCCGCAGCGCTCACATGAAGAGCCACGCCGAGCAGGAGAAGAAGGCCGCCGCCCTGCGCCAGAAGGAGGCGGAGGACCGCGCCCGCGCCGCCCAAGCCCAGGCCCGGGCCGCCGCTTTTATGGCCGCCCGCCAGCCGATCGCCACGCGGCAGGCGGGCGGTGACAGCGAGGACGACGAGGACGACACTTCGGACAGCGAGGACGATGACGACGACTGGCAGTGACGCACTTCACTGCGATCGCACCTTCAGGGACGTTTGTGTCCGCTCGTGCGCGCGTGTGTGTGTGTGCGTTATGGCCGCCCGTCAGCCGATCGGCACGCGGCAGGCGGGCGGTGACAGCGAGGATGACGAGGACGACACTTCGGACAGCGAGAACGATGACGACGACTGGCAGTGACGCACTTCACTGCGATCGCACCTTCAGGGACGTTTGTGTCCGCTCGTGCGCGCGTGTGTGTGTGTGCGTGTGCGTGTGCGTGTGCGTGTGTGTGTGTGTGTGTGTGTGTGTGTGTGTGTGTGTGTGTGTGTGTGTGCGCGTGTGCGTGTTCTCTAAGCTCTGCAACCTCAAATCAAAAGCCATGCTGCTTTTTTTTTCCTGCTTTTTTTTTCTCCACCCCGACAGCCATCACCAGGCTTTTCCCCCCTTCCCGCCTTCCCAGGACCTTTGACCTTTTTTCAGACAGGTGGGACTGTTGCACTCTAGCGTCTTGTAAGAGTCAATGCCTCTTTGACAATCAAAAACATCTAGATATACTGTACATATACAGGGTATTGCAATTCTTTCTGTCCCCTGTGGCTACTTTGTACTTCCTGTTGTGTTTCTATTCTTGTTGATAATTTTTTCAGTTATGATTGTCTTGAGCATGTTGAGGTTTTGTTTTTGTTTTTTATTTATTTCAACCAATAGGATGGCTGCTTGTTGGTTACTGTGAAGAATTAAAAAGGGCAGGCCTGCAATAGATGGAGCGCAACACACAAACACACACACACACACAAAAAAAAAATTTTTCACTGGAGGGTTTTTTTCCCACATGTGAGGACGCTGCGATGTTTCTCTATCCCAGCCAGGAGGCCTTCTCCTGGGCTTCAGACTCGCAGATGCCCCCATCCCCATACAAATTGTGTGGATGACCCCATTCTCAACTCACTGACATATATTTATGTAGTTTACATTATTTAAAATTTGCCTGGTTCATTGTCATGCTATTTATTTGGGAGGCGGGGGCGGGTGAGGAGATCCTGGGTGTGAGTTGACAGTGGCCAGGGCCACTTGGTGATTTACCCTAGCCCAGCCAAACCTCTTTCTGGGCTTCGGAGTCACAGATTATTACACCTCCTTGTGTGGATGTATGGATGATGTATCAACTCGCTGGTATATTCATTAATTCATATTGATTCTTTTTTTTTTTCCATGTTATTTTACACGTGGTGTACGGCACCATACACATACATATTTCACTGTGAGGAGGATGGCTCAAAGTTTAAAAAAACCCTGCTGGCCCCAAATTCTGCCTTTGTTACTAAGGCAAGAGGGTTTTTTTTTTTGTTTTGGTTTTTTTTGGGGTGGGGTAGGAGATACTTTGAGAGACGGTTAAATCCCAGAATATGACCTTGGGTCTATGCACAGACTGTTTGTGTGTGTGTGTCAGTGCGTGCGCGTGTGTATTGATGACGCAAAACAGTAAAATGGAAGACTGTTCCTGTTTGATACGTGTAATTTATATTTCCTTCTTAATTCGGGGCTTGTTTTGAAATTCTTGCAGCAGAAACATTGTAAAATCATATTTAGCTAATTACATAAAAAAAAGAAAAGATGTATATGAGTGAAGGTCGACGTTTGCATACTTTCTACACTATTTTCGTAAGGGGGTTCACACTAACGATTGGATAAACTGAATGACGACGAGTGCTTTTTACGACCATGTAACTTATTTGTTTCAGTTTTCTACCACGTTTTTGGGTCAATGATTTATGAGGCGCTGTTTATTAAACTTACATATTCCTGAAACCTTCAATGTTTTTTTTTCTTTCTTGGGCTATCAGTGCACTTCCACCACTGCCACTAGAGGGTAGCATAGCACCACCATCGCTTGGTTCACAAATCAAAGATGACAACTGACAAAGATGACAACAACACGATACTTGCTAAAATCTGTACCAAAGGTTCAAATTTTCATATGTCATAAATCAGTGACGTATTGTAAGCATTTTCTTGTGACCAAACCCCTCGTTAGAGTTACATAAACAATAATTTAATAAAACGTTATTCTTGACTTCTTTATACAGTTTGAGTCATAATGGCCTTCCAAGGGAAATGTTAATTATAACGTGGCCCGCGACAAAAATGAGTTTTGACACTCCTGGTTAAGAGGATGCGCAAAAATGACTCAAAATCACCCAACAGCCATGAGAATTCAAGACGTGTCATCACGATACAACGCTTGTTTTGAGTAAATATGAACGATTTTAGGATGTCTTGTGAATAGTTTGATCACATCGAGCATTTTGATTGACACATCAACTATTTTAGCGTTAACTCAAGTTATTTTAACATTTGTAATGATATGAGCAAATCGTATTTGCTTGTTTGACTAGTGATGCCTGTCCACAGCGCACAGAGCATACACGGAGCATGCGCTGCCGTTGCCTGAATCGGTGGCACATTTGTTATTTTTCAATGTGAGGTGGAGGACATCCAGCTCACGGAGGCTTGGCCACCTCGTGATCTTTCCCATCCAAGAGGCCTCTCTGGGCTCCAGTCCGAGATGAAAGCATACAGATGGAACACTGATGACAAGAAACACGGAAGCATGAAGGAGTGAGCGCAATGAAAAGTCAAGGTTGGTTGAGTATATGAGATCATCATCCATGTGGGAGGAAACCACGGCCCTCTCCAACAGCTAATCACAGTGTGCTAGTTTCAAAGGTACACCAGGGAAGTCTTCGGTTTCATACCACCCCGCCCCAACCCCCCCGAAAAAAAAATCACTTAAATTTTCATCCCACACAGTCTCCAGCTTAAAACAAGAAAGGGTTCTGCGCGAGTGATGATCTAAGCAGGGAGCAGCTGCCTTGCATGGTTGTTTCTGTTTGCTGACTTGTTTGGGTCCGTTGCCGTGGCGACCGTCCATCAGCCCGCAGTGACCCAGGAACGCTGCGACCAGTCGGCAGCGGGCAAAAAAACAAAACACAAAGCAGATGCTGTGTGGGTTGTTAGATGGTTATCTCGATTGACGTTCAAATTAAATATGCACTTTACATGTATTCTATTTTTTTTTTCATTCCATGTATGTACAAGTGATGATGCACTAGACTAGACAGATTCAATTTCATGGAATAACTGTCGTCTCTCTCTTCAAATAACTTTCATGCTTACAATTGTGTTCAGTCGTGACTGGAGAGTAAAGAATAAAACACGCTCATTTATGTGGCACATTGACAAGCCTTTATTGGTCAAAATGTCCACTGTAAAAACCAGTCAAATTTGGAGGACAAACCATCACCAATCGAACATGGAGTGTGTGTGTGTGTGTGTGTTTGTGTGTGTGTGTTTACATGTTTTTTTTATGTACTCTCGATTGCAATTTTAGTATTTGTGACTCTCCGCTCCACCGTATCCAAATCCTGCAAGAAAACAAAAACAATCCAAATTATTTATTAAATAAAACAACAACAACAACTGACAATCTTACAGAGACTTTCTCAGAACAAATGATTGGAACACACAGAGTATTGGCTTTACCGTGTAAAATGATAGTTTATTACCTCTGGGTCCAAAGAGTGCACTGTAGCAGGGGTTGTGGCAGTAGGGCTTGCCATCATGCTGAAACACAACAACATGTACTCAGATCTCAGCTAACGTTAGCGGCTAAGGATAACGCTAGCGGCTAACTTCTTTTGCCGCGTTTTCAGATTGTACGACAATCTAGTTAACAACAATTCGACATTCAAACCCGTGCTAAACGAGAGCCCGAACACACCTGCGGCCATTTAGAGTGCCTCTGTTTCATGCCAAATAAAGTTCAGCTGTTCTCGTGGGCTTTAGCCATACAGTTTCATGGACTGATCGATACCTCAGCGTGAGATCCCGACGACAGCGTCTTACGGCACTTCTCGCACCTGAGGCAGGGTCTGTGCCAGTCTTTGCCTAAAGAGGACACCTTCTCCGCTGCACAAAACGAAAAACACAAAAACACAGGCGGCAAATGACGCAGCGGTTACTTGGGTTTTATGATCATTGTTCAAAACGTAAGCCATCGCACAAACAAAACAGAGCTTGAAAGCAAAGTCACGTCGAAACCGAGAGAATTCAGATCAGATTCTTGATTCAGATCGCATGACACTCTTGTTGCTAGGTAGAATTCCCGGGGCTCATTTGGCACTGCCCCTGTAAGCTGGAATTGGAAATACTGCTATTTATTTTGTTTCATTGTGTTTATTTCTTCAGAGGGATTTCTTTACTTACATGTGCAGTACATGTTTATTTATTTTATTCAATTAAAATGTGTTACTATTTATTTATTCATTCGCTTCATTTCAAATTTTGGATTCATTGTTTTATCGAAAAAGGATGAATTGCGCGTTTCATGGCAACAGACATCATATGAGCATAAAAATTCCCCATGATTGAAAAATGCTAAAGAAATAAAAATAAAATAATGCCATAAATTTTTTTTCAATTGCTACTTAAGTGAAAAAAAAAGTGTAGAGTCGCACCGTGATCAGACTACATGACTAAATACAAAAGTATATCAGTTCCACGTGTCGGATGCGTAAGCAGACGTGTGGAGTGCAAAGCTGCTTGGGTGTTGCTCTGGAATTTAAAAAAAAAAAAAAAAAAAAAAAGAGAAGTGCACTCAAAGATTCTCTTATGTCGAACAAAGGCCATTTTTTCCTGTGACCGATGCTCTCTCCCACTGCAAAAATGTGGTGGGAGAGGAGGAATAAAAAAAAAACAAAAAAACAAAAGAAACAAATCAAAACATTTGTTCCTCTTAACCTTTATACTGTCATACAGGGGGGCAGTGACCTGAAATAATGAGTGTACTTTACACCCAATAAAGCAGCAAGGAGACTGCACTGGCACAGGTGGATCAACAATTACGTAATGCGCCTTTAAATGTCAGTTACAATTTAATTAAACGTGCGTGTGCGCGTGTGCACACACACACACACACACACACTTACAGAGCAGTAAATGTCAGCAGGAACCAAAACAGTAACTTCTTTTTTTCGCGATTAAAACTCAATAACATTAGCAAACAACGATAACGTTGATTGCAAAAACATTAGCGTCAAACTTCTTTGGACGCTTGTCAAAAACCATTCGTGATTAGTCATAACATTCGTGGTTAGAAAAATTAGATGGAAGCATTTAGCAATAACGTCACAATAAGATGAGTGGCTAACGTGTTTTTACGCGCGACTGTCAATGAACGGGTTTACAATTAAATGAGCTGTTAGCGACTTTTTTTTATGCTTGCCGCGACCCGTCAATAATAACGGTAGCGGTGAGCAACGACACTTGGCAATAATGTCAGTGGCTAATAATAGCATTAGGAGTTAGCATTCATCTCGTTTTGACGCTTGAGCGTATGAGAATGTTTGCGGTTAGCATTAACATTGGCAGTTAGCCATGATGTCGGTGGTTGGCAATTATGTTTACAGTTATTCCCTTCATCTTTTCCAAAGTCTTTTTTTTTTCCTGAATTGGATTAAAACAGGAGCATCCCGCAAAGGATCGTTTGACCTGAAAAGTTCCCCCATGTATTTTCCATGTCTGCCTTTTTCCATGGTAAATGTTGCGCAATCATGCGGTCCACCCAAGACCAAATCCATCAGATTAGACGCGGAATGTTTTGGCTTTTCGCCGCTCTGCTCGGCTCGTTATCGCCATTACATAACGTTGTTGCACGAGTCGCTTTGATCAAGCGAGGTTGTGTCCTTCCTCGCGCCACTCGCCGCTCATAGTCGGTAACCCCAGTCGACTTTTCCAACCTCATATTGTCCTCGCTTGCTGGATCAAGTGACCTCACGAGATGATCATCCAAGTGGAGCGAGCACAAAGAAGTGCTGCATAATGAATGAAAACTTCACAGGTCACGTGAAAGCACTCTGATGATAATTTGGACGCTTTTTCCAATACTTGCTCACTGTGGTAAGTGATATTTTTAGACCAATAACAATCGTACTTGACAACAATCGCAGATGTTTTTTTTTTTTTGTTGTTTTTTTCTTACAACTAATTGAGTGTAGATTAAATTCACGGTTATGTTGTGGGTCAAAAGTGGCACCTTTAGAAATATTTCTGAGTGTTATTTTTGGTTTTAAGTTTTAAAAAAAAATGTAACATACAAAATTGAGCATCTTATTGGATATCAAAAAATAAATTCTAAAATCCTAAATTCCTCTTGGTCACTGTCGTAGTCCCAAAGTTTGTGAGGGTTTTTTTTATTTTTTTTTTTTTTTATGATGATTTTTTTTTTTTATAAACTAAAAAAAAAAGGTTACATTTTATTTTATTACCCAATTCAAAATTGCCTCTCAAAAATGTCACAGGAGTCCATTAAAAACAAGTGAATACATTTAAACATGGAAAAAATAAAATATCGATTTTTGGGGGGCATGAAGAAATAAGATAAACCGCAAACATTAGAGACGCAAGCTTTTCAGTGTGCACAATGTCGTTTTCAAGGAATAAAAATGTTCACCTTCACCTCTCTTGTCTCAGAGAAAAGTTTAGTCACACATTATATCGATTTTTGTAAACCAAAAGAATACATTTATACAGGGAAAAACGTTTTTAAATTGCATAAAAATATATATCATAATTTACTTTGTGCATAAAAAATCATTGTATATATATATTTTTTTAATATATACACATATATTGAAAACAAGTAAAAGTGCTTCTTCATGTGTAGTAAAAAAAAAAAACATCGTTTATTTTTCCCCATTTTTCTTCTTACCTGAAAACAATATCAGAAAAAAAAAAGTGAATAAATAAATCAATTTTCCCCCAATTCAGTGTCCAAACTCAATCCAGTTACACGAGTTGAATTCTGAAAAATGTATTTATTAATTCATTCAAGAAACTCAAACTTGAACACGACATCAATCAAAAATCTTTTCACGTATTTTCGTCGAGCTGCAGGAAGCAAAAAGGAGGGGAGGTGGGGGTGGGGATAAAGGCGATTTGACGCGCACGTCAAAGACTCGAAACCATTTCCTGTTTCCTCATCGAGATGCAGCGACAGAAGCAACACGCAGAGTGAAAGCCAAAGCAAAAGAATGCGGTTCTTACCAAAGTAGACCTCCTTGTTGCAACTGGGACACTTTGGCATGTTTGGATCCTTTTTTGTGAAGATGATTGATTGCAGTGCGAGCGAAACCACCTCAAAGACCGCCGGGCTGGATGTGCGCACACTTGCCCCGCCGCCTTTATAACTCTCCGCATCCTACTTTGTGTGTGTGTGTGTGTGTGTGTGGGTGGGAGAGTCTTCTGGTCACGCTGTTAAAGAGATACACCCCTCCCAACAATGCACCTTCGACTTTTAATTCCTTCGCAGAACACAACACGGCTCAATCTCAAATTCCGCCTTGAAATATGGAAGCCCCCCTCAAAACAAAAACAACATTTTTGGAATGCGTTTTTTTTTAAATCAGGAAAATAAGACTACAGTATTGTATTCCATAAAATGTGGTATTTAAACCCGCAGTAATGACATCATTAAAAGACGAGGAAGAATGAAACAGTTTGAGCATCATGCATGACTTGATGCTCACTGACCTTGTGTGTGTGTGTGTTCCTTGACCATCAGGGGGCAGTATAATAGAATCGTACATCCTAAAGAAAAAGAGTTTTACAACTAGATGACTACGTTGCATTTTTGTATTTTTTTTTTTGCCGGGGATAAAGAATATACGCCTACACGTATTCTTCTTTCGCACATCTGTCGGCATCTGTTGCTGCACCATTTGTGTTCACGTACCCTCGAAGGGTTGTAAAATACCACAAAATCCAATTCGTACTTAATGCTGTTGCCTGTATTGGTGAGGTCAGATTTATCAATCAATCGATCAAGCAACCAATCACGTCAGCACTTTTAACTGGTTAGGGTTTACAGTATTAGATTTATTTCTTGTCGGGCCAGTCGCCACACGGAGGTATGGCATTGCTTTACGTCACACTATCAAAACATCAATGTCGTCATTTTCTGGAACTGTCCCAATTAAAAACAAAATTCAGCGTATTCCATCACAGAGGGTGGTTTCCATAGCGACAGTAACGGGGTAGTTGCTTTATCCCATAAGAGCAAAGTCTGCGTGCTGATAAGGACTCACCTACTATGTACTTTTGATAGTACTTGACCTAAGACAGCCCATTAGTGACATCACCATCTTTGGCAGCTCTAACCCGCCCGGCAACAGGTCCAACCTGTCGTTAAAAAAAAAAAGAAAAGACATCAAGGAGTCTGTCATATCAATTCATGAAGTGGATGTATACACGTGGGTAAATATTTGAGATAAACGGTGAGCAAGGTGTGTTTGTGTCATATAAACAAGCACGCCTTTTTGGCGGCTAATGATGTTACCAAGCAATTAGGGCTCAAGGTCAAAGTTAAGCTTGGTTCGAAAGTTTTTTGGGCTGAAAGGGTCAGGTTGTGGGTTTGTAATGAACACCTGTCTTGAAATCAGTTCCGAAAATCTGCTGCTGGGAGAACATTGCAATTCAATTTCGGGGGAAAAAAAAAATGCTCCTAATACTCCCCAAAATGTTGCACGGGGCGTGCTCTTCCTGCTACATCGGTTGCTCCGGCAACACCGACCTATTTGTTAAGATGGTTGCCCTGGCGACGGGGAGTTTCTCAACAACAGGAAGCCAAGGAGCAGGGCAGGGGATGAATTCACATGAGATGATGACGATGATGTCACCAAAGAGCACATTTTTAGCAACCACTGTACCGGATAGATGAAAAACAAACAATCGCTTACATTTTTTCCCACGGGCAGTAATGGAAAGACAAATGATCTGTTCCTGGGTCAAACTGCCGTCCCACAACCTGACTTCAAGTGTGTGGGGGGTGAGAGGGGGGTATTTTTGAACACTCTCACGAGATTTTTACCTCTTTAAAAAAAACAACAAACAAAAAAGTCGACTTGAGCTTCTTCAAACAGGTGACATCACTTCCTGCCCTTTTTCTTTCTTAATCGCTTGGTGAGGCCGTTCCCGTCGCACAAAAAAAGCAAACGGATTTGGGACAGAAACTGCTAGCCTTAGCATTAGCCTAGCATGCTAGCTGGTGCGCTATCCATCCAGTAAAGTCTTCCACGCATTTGGATTCTACAAGGCTTTGTCCTGAAAGTCATTATCATTATATCACCAATTATAAAAATCGCTTTGGATCCAATCAAAAGGATTTATTTTTATTTTTTTACAGTAGAGAAAATAACTAATTTTCCACTTTAAAACGCAGATGTAATAAAAGGGCGCCACGGTCATGCAGTAAGGAAATTATTTGAATTGTTAATTGTTTTTAATTGTGGACGTACCAAGCAGATGGAGACTTCACAGCCTAAAGTAGTTGACCTTCATGCTTCCTAAAACTAAGCACAGAGTTCATCCAAAAATCTGTCATTTATTGGCAAAAAAATTCGATGATGTGAACCTTTCCCAGAAAAAAAGGCGTTTTTGAAGTCAAACGTGTAAGGCCGACAAACGGTGATGAACCTCGGATTTAGGACGTGGGATGCGGACACAAAGGGATGAGCATCTGTTCTGGGTCGCTGCAAATCAGCACTGATGAGCTCATCTCAAGATAAACCCGCAGCAGAATTTGGCCCAGCCTTTCATCAGCCTGGCCCGAGTGCCGACTTTCCTTCCTTCCTTCTCGTGTGTTCCAAAGTGAGCGTGTGCCAACATGTGGGCATCGTCAAACGGCTTCGAGAGCAACACATGGCGGGAAGCAGCTCCTCAACATATCCACAGCACTCTTTTTTCCCACACTTTTGTCCGCTTCCGACAACGATTACATGGAATTTCATCCCCATCGTATTGTCGACCACTACAGACGCCATAAAAATTGTTGTGGCATTCCACATATTCGTACGTACTTGACCTAAGCCAAAGGGGAAACGCGACGGCGGCGTGATGACGTCACGGGCGCAGCTGAACGCTGGAGTCACTCATCTCAAAGCACCTTGAATTCAAACACACAACAACACGCCACATGCCGTTCGTAGCTGCTCGTATTTTTCTCTCGGCAAGAATGCGAAAGAGGACAAGTGACAGCACCTGCTCAGCTCAACGCTGACAAGTAGTAATTAGCGAGAGGAAGTGTGTCTTCGTTGACTGCCCGCGTGTGTCACCAAAGATGTTGCTCAAGACGCTTCCTTGTTTCGAGTTTCACAAAAACATTCCACGGCTAAACGCTACGTGGACGCGACAGTGTGTTAGCCACTTTGACAATGGTCTCTCGTCTCTCAACTCAACTGTATTTCCAGTGCACTTTAAAACAACCGCCGCTGTAGACAAAGTTTTATACATGGAGCAAAAATAACTAAATAAAAAAATCATACAACAACAAATAAATCAAACAATGAAAACAAAGACAGTAGAAAGCACAGTTACACATGGAGCAAAAATAACTAAATAAAAAAAAAAAAAAAATCATACAACAACAAATGAATCAAACAATGAAAACAAAGACAGTAGAAAGCACACAAAACAGTCAAATTAAAAATCAAGTCTCATCCTGAGTCAACAGACAAAGAATACAAATAAGTTTTAAGACGAGTTTTAAAGATGGACAGCGAGGGGGGCTTGTCGAACATTAAGAGGAAGGTCATTCCAAAGATAGCATTCTGGACCAACTGGAGTCACTTAATGGAGGATTTGCCCCGACAAATTGTTCAGCAAGATGAAAAATCTGAAATGATATCCAATGTTATTGAGTGATATGAAATGATGGAATGATTTTGAACAGAATGGAAGCATGTGGAACGATTCACCGTTATTGAATGATAAAGCGGCAAAGGTGAAGATGACGACAGTAGAATGGAGTTAGCCCACTCTTGCACTTTGGCACCAAAGAAGCTTTTCCACACCAAAGACTCACCTGACAGACAAGATGGCCTCCACGGTGGCGACCAGGAAGTGGAAAAATGTCCTGCTGATACACCCAGGAAGTGATGTCACAGGCAGCAAGTGGCATCAAATCCTTCAACAGAAATGTGCAAATGGGCAACAGTTTGACACACTTAAAAAAAAAAAAACAACAACAAAAAAACCCAGCTTTTTAAAAAAATCAATTTGAAGTCAAATTTTGCCCATAATTGATGGTTTGGTGCTACCATAGAATCCACTGTTTTGTATCCAAGCAACCTAGCTTGGAAAAAAATGTTGCAGACTGTTGGAATGAATTTCAACTTTTTTAAAACTCAAAATTAACAACCGGTGGCCAAACCGTTTTCAACGCTGACATTGGATCGAAGTCATGCAGTCAAGGCGCGGCCTGCCATCCAAAAATGTTAACCTGTCACATTCTCGCATTATGGCCCAAAAAGGAGCGACGGAGGACACGCCTCAGACGACATAGAATCAAATATGTAACATGAATTCCCCCACCCCCCCCAAAAAAAAATGCATGGAAAAATATTGCAATAAAGATATGTATTTTAACTCATTCACTCCCAAAGTCACTTTTATATGACTCTCCTGACTCTGCACATTCAATCCCAGGTACTTATTTATATATTTTTTTCATTTCTTTTAAAGAGTTAGGGTAAAAAAGAGTCTGCAAATGGTTGGGAGTCGTGAATTGAAGCATTGCATTGAACACCATCGTTGGCAGCCATTTTATTGGAAATGTTTACAAGGAGCTGCCGTTATAACGAACGGTTGTGTCCCGCCCAGGTCCGTTGTGACTCAGAGCAGTTGCTCCACCTAATGGCGATGTTGGCAAATTACACTTCAATTAATTATTGTATTAAAAAAAAGAAATCTTAGTATTTTATAAAAAGCTATAAAAAATACCTAAAATCTATTTATGGTCGTAAATAAATGAAATCATATAATTTCACTGAATGGGCCTGCCTGGTTTGATGTGAATCTTTTTTTACAGAAAAATAATTGAATGTTAAATAACAGAAGTATAAACGCCAATTGCAATTAAATGACATAAGATTAGCTCAAATGACAAACATCTCAAACATGCTAAATCTGACAGAAATACCATTTAGTTACACACACACACACTCTCTCTCTATTTATTAGATTGTAAATACATATAGCTAAAATGATTGTCACACATTAGCTTTGAATGAAAGAAATACACTTGAGACTGTGCATGTAGTGTGGCTTTATTTCATCTTATAAACAACAGACACCACATTTTGTCAAGAACAGAAACAGCTGGAGCCTACCATGAAAACATTAACAATAATAAAACATGTTTCCGCCTTACGGCGAGTGCCAAATGAATGCAATGCTAAACTAACAACAGCAACACAAGGCAGTGTCTATGCAAACCAAACACTTTGTCGTCTAACAGCCCGATTCTGAACGTGTTGAAATGACAGGAATACAATTTATTGCCCCCTACTGGCTAACCTCGGAAACGAACACCGAGAACTGGCCACCGGCCAATCGCAGGGCGGAGATGGAGCATCAAGCGTACACATTTCAGGACGCTTTTGGAGACTCCGAATGAAGCTCACCTAACATAAGATAACCACGGCGCAGTAACAGTCAAGTTTATCATGTCGTCAGGCTGTCAAAACTATTAAATATGGCATTGAAGAAAAAAAAACCAAAAAACAATAGCTTCAAATGGCAATGTAACAATCTCCCGTCTTTTCCGTCCCTCAAACCACTGGAATTCACTGTGCTCACGAATTTTTTTTCTTTCGAAGTAATGACCATGTAAAACCACTTGGTCATGAGAAACTGAACTTTTTTTTTTTTTTTTTTGCAAAAACAGCTGCTCGGAACAGCTCGGAATTTCTTGAAAAGGAGAAGACGAGGAACATGTTGTCAGGAGGAGGGGACGAGGGAGCAGCGGGGGTCCCGGCGGGATAAAGGAAAGCCGAATCACTGGGTGGGATCGTAGATGTAGCTTCCTACGCCGCCCGTGTTGACGCCTGGAGAAGGAAGAAGCACAAAAGGGCCACGAGTTGGGGGAGGCTCACTTGCATTACGGGCGCTGGAGTGCACGGGTAGGGAAAGTATGGCACAAAGGAAGGGATTGGAGGAGCGGGGGGCATATATAGTGGTGGTGCTCTCACACACACGCACACACTCGTAAAAATACATGTTCTAATTAAAATGAACTATTGTCCATATTTGACATATTCAAAAACGTGTTTACCACATCCATGAATGAGCTGGCTCACTCTTCAGTTTTAAAAATCAAATGTGGTCCTTGAGTACAAAAGTTTGCCCACCCCTCGTGTAATGTGTGTGTGTGCGTGTGCGCGCACGGATTTGTGCGCAAGACATTCAGGGCGCCGTGTAGCTGATGATATTTGGCGGATCAACGGCATCTCCTAGCGGTTACCTTTGGGCCCGAAGAGGACGGCGTAGCATGGCTTGTGGCAGTAAGGCTGGCCATCGTGCTGGAAAATGATTAAAAAAACAAAAAACAAACTCACAATATATTTACACTTGGTGAAGCAGCATGTGGTATTAGGGGTGACAGCAACCAAAGCAGCTTAATCATAACTGTAGCATGACTCCGAAAGCAGGTGAATTGTAATGGTCGTCCTGACCGTAGCATAGTGACAAAAGTGGCTCAGTTGTAGCAGCAGAGCTGCAGGGAATATTGCAAAGTTGTACGAGTAGTATAGCAACAAAAGTGGCTAATTTCTTGCAGTAGAAAAATCGACAAAAGTAGTCAAGTTGTTTGGGTAGCTTAGCCATGAAAGTACCAAAGTCTCAGTGGTCCTGCATCAAATGTTGCTAAGTTATGGCGGTAGGAGAGCAACAGAAGCAGCCAAGTCCTAGCACTAGCATAGCAACAAACTGGTTTAATTGCGGTTGTACCATCGCGATGAACGAAGCTAAGTTATCGTGGCAGTAGCATTGTGAGCTAAGTTGTAGGAATAACATAGCAACAAAAGTGGCTAAATCACAGTGGTAGCATAGCAACAATAGTGGCTATGTTGTAGCGGTAGCATAGTAACGAAAGCGGGATGCGCGTCTCTTCTCCCAGCTACTCAGAACAATCCGTGAAGGGACTGAATCATCTTGCCAGCGGTTACCTCGGCGTGGCTGCCAGCAGATAAAGTCTTGCTGCACCTTTCACAGCGCAGGCAGGGGCGATGCCAGTCTTTGCCCAGTGACGTCACCTTTTCGGCTACACACCACAACAACAACAACACACAACAATGAATGTTGAAGTCTCCCACTCAATTTTGACCAAGTCGGTATCTTGAATTCAACTTTTGAATTCAACTTTTCAGTCAAGGCAACACTGTCCAGTCACATCACACTCAATTTTGACCAAGTCGGTACAACTTTTCAGTCAAGGCAACACTGTCCAGTCACATTCTCAATCTTGCAGTCTTTGTTTACAGTTTGTTTGTTGTCCATTGCCGCCTCAATGACAGTCTGCATAAACCCCGTGAGGAGCCTACTCACCAAAATACACCTTCTTGTTACATCTGGGACACATGTTGGCCTCGCCGGAAAAAGTGGTGACGCCTCCAGCTGTGTACACGCACATGCACGCACGCACGCACGCACGCACGCACACACACACTTGTTAAAAAGAAATGTTCGCACTAAGGTAAGTGTCAGTGTTTGACTTGGCTCGGCAGGACTTTAAACCACTCAGCTGGGTGTCCTCGGGTCACCATGGCAACAACAAAGGCAGAAATATTCTCGGTATTACAAGCTAGGGGCACACACAGGCACACATTTGTGGAAAGTATGTTTAATTTTTGTCGTTTTCCAAAACATTTTTACGTTAATGGGTCTGATACGAAATAAAAATCAGAGTGAAATGAATCTATTTTACAGATGATGTACATTACGCATTACCTCGCGCAATAAGTGTTCCATTTGTCCACGAAAACAAAGAAAGAGTAAAATAAGCAAGTTTATGTTAAAAAAAGATTTCATGAAATAACTGGTTGATTAACTACAGTTATTCATTCATTTTCCCATCCGCTTTTCTCCTCACGCGCCGTCTTCGGGCAGTAGGCGGGGGACACCCTGAACCGGTTGCCAGCCAACCGCAGGGCACACGGAGACGAACAACTCACACTCACAGCTAGGGACAATTTGGAGTGTTCCATTATAAACCGCCATGCATGTTTTTGGAATGTGGGAGGAAACCGGAGTACCCGGAGAAATCGTAACAACAGTTATATTCATTCTATGACATTTTTAAAAAGTGACAATGAAATCATTTTTTTTCACGTTACATCCGCATGTCCGCGTCAACTTTTTCATCTGACATCGCCCAGTTGCCCTATTTAAAAATCGAATGTGGATGTTGACTCC